GTTGAAGTTGAGTGTATCGTAAAGTTGTATTCGGAAAGAATAAACCAGTTTTATTTAAGAAAGGACTTGTGTCGCTATAGTTTCGTCAGAACGAATTTACGGAAAATCAATTAATGAACGGAGATGTAACAGTATTAACACGTTATAACTTCCCCATTGTTGAAAGGGCGACAATATTCGGTGACGGGGATTCAAACCTGTGACCCGCAGATTACAAGTCGAGTGCCCTAACAATCAGGCCATGCTAGGCCTTATTTGTGGAAGTATGATAAAGTTAAGAATAATTCTTTACTGAAGAATATATACATAAACAAAAAATACAATCGAAGCCACGTTTGCACACAAAATGCATCTCACATTCAAAATCTGTGTCCACTGGGAATTAGGCTCAATCATCTGGATATTAGTTGAATGGATCTATGTATTCTTTGAAACTGGAAACTTTGATAAACACAATAATCTTGAAAAAACGTTACATTTTACCCTAAGGGGTACTATCCACATAGCACTTTCCTGTGCTACAATATATTCATCATATTTAATATGTAGTATTGAATCTCTGAATAACTGGGTCTAAGACAGAAAGAAACTGGACACAAAGTAATGCATAAAATGAAGAAGCCTTGCTGAAGCCACAAACAAAGTGTATGTACTTACTGTTTTAAACTTCACATAGTTGCTCTACTACATGTTGTACCTCAAGATGATCAGGCCGAATTCATTTACCAGACTGTTTAAACTCAAGATTCCTTACTTCACAGTCGAATTCACCAAAGCAATTATCCCTATTGACATGGCTGGTCATTCTCATTCGGACATATGAGAGGCCATAACCTCGAGATACCACCTGAAATACCATTGAAAGACACTAACTATGAATCTTCTTGCACGACGTGCAGCTTTACAGACATGCCCTCCCATGGGTAGAACAGGTATGACTTCAGTTGAATGGAAAAGAACAAAGGCAGCTAGAACAACATCAATTTAATAACTTTCTTGACCACGTGTTTTCACAAGTAGAATAAATGATACATTCAGAATAATAAAATATTATATTTATATATCACACTTTCCCCTCTCCCTTCTTCGGATTTATCCTCAAGCTGACAATTATATGAAAGTCTAAAACCAATAAAATTTAAATTTTTGCCATGGTCAAGAAGTGTATTAACTTTCTCTCAACCTTGAAAACACCCAATCCAACACAAATGTCAAACCATTTAGCAAAGAACAAGAATACATAATCACAATGTTATGATAAAAACATTCCCTAAGAATGGATTAAAATGTTCAAACCTCTTTATCACAGAAAATTAATTAATTCCATAAGTTAATAATTTCACTACAATAAAACCGTTTGAGGATAAAACCATACATCAAAACAAAAATAGACCTTTAATTAAACAAGGGTTCTATCGTAACTTGTTATATTGGTGGGTATGTTCTTTGGTAAAAATAATGCAAAATCTAGTCCACTTAACACTAACTAATTATTTATTTCTTCAATAATGTTTTATACAGATTAATTCACTAGTAGGCCTAGCTTCCCAAATAGTGTTTAGAAATTCCAAAACTAACGGTATATCCAAATCAAAAATGAAGCCCAAGTAACTTACTTGCAAAAGCTCCATACTAATCAATTAATAAAAAGCTTCTTGGCTTATTTAATTCTCTCTCTAACTGGTGTTATAATATTGTACACTATTTCATGAATGTTCGAGATTCCGCAGAGGTCTAAGCTATCATTAAATTTCTAGATTTCTCACAATGATTACATCATTTAAAACTCCCTCAAGAGAATAACACATTCAAATAGCAAAAAAAGCATAGCCTAAAACCCCTTTTCTTCCTGGAATGTGAAGTCCCCTTGAACAATCCTAAAACACACCTAAAACAACACATTAAACTTAACATTTCATAATTAGCAATAAAGTCATTATATACAAATAACGAAAATTAATATTCCCAAACAAGCGTTACAATCACTATATTATTGATTAAAGGTTTTAAACAAAGTACAATGTTACGTCTCTGGTCGTTTGTTAATTTCCCGTATAATTTCTTTCGGGTGAAACTTTAGCGATACAAGTCCTTTCTTAAAGAAAACTAGTTTATTCTTTCTCAATACAACTTTGCAACACACTTAATTTCTACAGTCAGTTTAACTTAAACACACGTTATAACTCACAACGATTCACGCACTTTACTTGACTCAATTCTTCGTCTCTGTCTGTCTGCAATTATCTATGCCGTCACTTTATTTGCCGGCTTATATACTAAAATAGAGGACGCATAGAAAAGACTAGAGTTGTTGGGAACAGTCATGATCTTTCTAGAAACCCATGACGTGTTACCACTATCCCTTCCTTAATTAGACCATCCATGACCTTCTCCATCTCTTGTCGCTTTCCGGAGTTATTCTCCTTGGAAGGATCTTTATTGGACGGTGATTGACTGTGTTTATTCTGTGCTTCACAAGGTCTGTGCAGCCAAGGTCATGATCTCCTTTCGAAAAGATGTCTGCATAATTCGCCAAAAGTTCTCTAACCTGAAGAGCCTGTTATGACTACAAATGGACTATGCTCTTCTTATAGAGGTCAGTTAATTGTTCTGGGAGTGTATGTCCTTTCTTTATAGTTGTATTTCTTGCTTTAGCATTGACTGGCTCTACCTCCTGGTACACACCCAACAATGCCCCTTCCTTAAGTGTCTGCTCACATTTAGAGAAATTGGCCACTAGTACAGGTACTACTTGATTACCTGCCACAAGTGACCTTCCAATCTTCAAATCCACTGGCCTGGATGGGTCTCCTACTGCTTCCACAAGCATTGGGTTTCCTTGGGGATGTTCTTTTATCCTACCCCAAATTATCTTCTCTGACACAGGGAGTATTGTAGTTGACTTAAGTGCTGTGACATGCAAATCAACAGATGCAGCAACACTTACTGGAATTTGGCCTTTGTTGTTTCCAATCGTCATTTTATCGAAGTTAACTACACACTTCCTCGGTAATAGATAGACCAATCCTAATATGCATTGGGAAAGTATACTTGGCTGACATTGAAGATGAAAAACAGACAGGCCCATGAGCTCGATAGTTACCCACACTGGTCCCAACAACCTTGCAGAATGTCCTGTCACACCACAGAGCTTCTGTACAGCTTCTGGTACTCCTTTGTTATCCAGCACCTTGATGCTCACAAGGGTTTGCTAAGATGCAGAATCTATGACAAAGTTGCTCCTTTGGCCATCCAGCTTCCCTATCACGTAGATACTATGTGTGCTTGCCATTTTACACTTAGCTGTTGGGACTTTCACGATGGAGGTTCGTGAGCGTCCCTCAGCGCCAACCACTACTGGTTTCCAGAAGCTGACTTATTGGTGGTATTTTTCTTACACTGGATCCTCAGATGTCCTTGCTCCTCACAGTTCCAACAGCCTTTCTGGGTAGCAGTCTTTCCTGCTGTATCATCTCCCCTGTGTAGAAGTTTCCAGCTTTGAGTTCTCTTGTGCCCAGGTTTATTACAATGCCAGCAAAGTCCCTCAAACCTCTCTGAAAGCTAACTTTTCCTTTCTTGAATCCAGATGAGTGTACCAACCTCGGTACCTCTGTGCTGGACTTAACGTAGGATTCAAATTCGAGAGCTCTGGCCATTGCATCCTGCATGATAGAGGAATGTGCTTGCTTCACTTGTATCTTAAGTTGTGGACTGTCCAAGGCATCTACGAACTGATCCCTCAGCAACAACTTGAGGAAATCGGGTGGTGCAGTTGGATAGGCC